TGTTGAAACTGAAGTTATGAAACAGTAGCTTAGCGGTTGAGAGTATTATTTAGCTACAAATTGTTTACAGTCATAGAAAGTACAAATCCTTAAATGATCTCATATCGACATGACATGAATTGATAAACGTATGCTGTTATCTCAAGCACAGGTTTGACTATAAGGTATTTGATCTCATTACCTTTGTGAAGGGTAGTATTAATATCTGATTGAATTAAGCACAGTAGTGTTATAACTTTTAAAAACTGGTATTTAGAACAACAAGAAATTGAAATATACATGGCACACTTAAGGACGAAGACAAAAAATTGATAACAACGTTAATTCAATGAACTCATTTATACATATATCGATTTTAATAGTATTTCATAACTACGAACAGTAGATATGATACAGAGTTACTACAAAACGCATCCCATTTGTTACATTGAACATACACAAGGAATATCACACTGAGCGAAAAATCACAATAATTTAAAGGATACAATATAGGAATTGACACTAGGAAGATAGAGGATAGCAGGACTGTAATAATATGACTTATTTGAGGCTATTCAACCTTTATTCAGCGATTGCTTATGACCGTTGAGTCACTCCATACCACTGGGTGCATTTCACACCGTAGGAATATAACCAGTAGTCTATTATTTAGAGGAAACTGAAGTGATTTACATTCTTTAAGTTGCCCTAACCATTTTTCTATCTTATACTAACCAACTTAGCAAGTTGGGTTATATGATTTATTGATAAGCGCTAAGCATATTCTAGCCGTGACATTCAACAGAAGTTTATAATTCCATTTCGGGGCCACACCCGGACCCTTCAACTTAAAGGTCTAATCGACAAGGCAGTAGAGCAATGTTAGAGAAAATGCAGTTCCATGGTAGTCGGTGACCCACAGTGGGTTCATACACCATTTGTTCCTTCAGGATCATGGAGTCCATATGCACCATTGGTTTGGAATCAGGGTTTTACATCTCCTTTAGGTGGGGTAGATCCTCTGTATTCACCAACCCGGTTAAAGTGCCGGATATTCACTTTTCATCTCACTTTCGTAAACAACACCCCACCACGAAAAGGTAGTGGGGAGGATTTCCCTGATATTGAGTGCATACACATGGTCATGTAAGGATATTTCGGGAGGGAGAGCTAACTCCTGCTCAGTTACGAATTGAAAACCTTCTATGTGTTAGACAAAACATAATAACCATTACACCACAGAAACAACATTTAGTTTGTTTTTCTTTTCTTTAATAAATTCACATACACACACTGTCCATTTTATTTAACAACAACGAAAAAAGGCGAACAAAATTCTTCCTTTTTTCTTTCTATTTACAGATATCTCCAACTAGATACTACAAAATAAATAGTTACCAAGTATAGTTACCCTATTTCTCTATTTGATATTATTTACACGTATAGAGGCATATTTGAAAGTCGGATCAAAATGTTAATCATTTCAAAATAGTTCTTCAAATGAACCTCCATTTTTTTTCAAAAAAAATTTGATTAATTTATTTTTTAAGTTACATATACATACACAATTCAAAGTTCAATGGTATGAAGGATCAGAATTAATTATTGAACATTGAATACTTCAAATATGAAACTAGAAAAATGACAAACATAGAAATTTTTCAGGCAAAAAACAAACAAGCAATCAAAAAAAATCAATTATTGATCGTTAAATAAACAATTTGCATAGAAACAAAAATTTTTTTGTAAATTTCGAATTTTTCTTCATGTTGATTATAAAAACGAAAACAAAAAAACACAATTCAATTCAGTAAAACAAATAATCATGTGAACTAATATTTATTCATATTAGGTAAATGATGGTAAGCAACAATATTTTCTTTTTCTTTTCTTTGGCTTCCATTCAGTCAGTTAGCAACAACAACAACAACAACAACAACGTAGAACTTTGTACGTGTGTACATTACAGTTCCAGTTGTCAAGCCATATTAGCTTCCATTAGTCTTTTTTAGAAGAAGAAAAAAATCGATATTTAATATAACAAAGTGATCTATATTTGTTTGTTTGTTTATTGTTGGTAATATTTTGTTTATTGAATTTGTTCAATGTTGCTAAAAAAAGAAAAAAAACTTTTTTTTCCTAGTTATTCAATGTTATAATGAACAAACAAGAAATAATAATTGATATGCATGATAATTATTATTAATAATTTTTTCTATGTGACATATATATTTATTTAAGTGGATTTTTGCAACGAGCACCCAAATGCCCTGCTACGCCCGAGGGATGGGAGAGTTAGCTCTCCCTCTCGAAATATCCTTAAATGGCCATGTGTATACAGTAAATGTCAGGGAAATCCTCCCCACTACCTTTTCGTGGTGGGGTGTTGTTTACGAAAGTGAGATGAAAAGTGAATATCCGGCACTTTAACCGGGTTGGTGAATACAGAGGATCTACCCCACCTAAAGGAGATGTAAAACCCTGATTCCAAACCAATGGTACATATGGACTTCATGATCCTGAAGGAACAAAAGGCGTATGAACCAATTGCTGGTCACCGACTACCATGGGACTGCATCTCCTCTAACGTTGCTCCACTGCCTTGTGGATTAGACCTTCAGGTCAAAGGCTCGGGATGTGGTCCGCTAAGAAAACCACCTGTTTCGTTCTGGGCACCCTACCAGTATCATAATACACATACAAATTAAGTGACTTATGTGGCGCATATCTATTCGGTTCCCTTTTGTACCAATATTTATGTGTTCAAATAAATAAATATTTTTCCAATGCAATATACATGCAATATATTAACTGACTTTAGTTAGATAAATATTGAAAATTAGTAAAACACTGAACAACTGCTTCATTCTAGTGTAGTGAACAGAACACCAGTGGGGACAATCGAATGTATTTAACACAAAATTACAGGACTTGTTAATAAAATCTAACAATCATAAAGTAAATGCTTAGTTTGCAAAATGTTCACCAATTGTCTCAAAATGACTCAGACTTCATTGTTCTTGCATTTTCATACAAATTGCGTTCAGTTTACATTCATTACTGTTCGATCCTCTTGTCTCTCTGCTACCAGACCTTCTGTTCACGACTAACATCATATACTACATATGTCAATATAAGTAGCACACACCACACTAGTAGTATGAGGAGACGTTTCAGTAGTGCAAGGTAACGATCCTTACAGACATGTCTTGGTAATAAGCGTTTGACCGTTGAATCAGAATTCGGTGATACTGGATTGTCGACAAAACTACGATAAGCTCTTCATTTTTCGAATTATTTACAATCAATCTGAAATTTTCGGTAAATCTATACGTTCTTTAGAAAAAACAAATGACAAAAACTATCCTCTTCTTGACCTTGAGAGTTGCTCAAAGACAATATTTTGATATACAATCTTACCTTAAAAACATGAACAGTACACTATGAAACCATTAGTTTGTGCGGTTGTGGTTGTATTCCATTGAGTAATCTATACGAATTAGTGGTAAAATCCCGGCAAGATGATTCTTGAAGTGTTTGTCTAAACAAAATCAGTACAAAGTACTCAACTTCCCTACTGCTTACATTTGACAGCAAAAACGGCACAAAATAACTCTGAAGATTGATGTGGATGAAGATTTATTAACCTTTCAAAGAACACCCTTAAAAAACAAGTAGTCATTAGACCGAACTATGCTCATTTACATACGCAATATACAGAGTTACTTAAGAAAAAATATACCGAATACAGTACACTTGAATTAATACAAGGAATGAAGATATCACACTGGATGGAAATTCAGATTTGTCACATTGATCAAAATTAATACTGAAATGATACAGAATTATTGATCTAAAGTCATGTCATCTTATCCTATTACTGTATTTTCTTTTGATAGGGACTTCAGGGATTATCAACAGTTTCACATCCATCGACGCGACAGAAAACTATAACTCAAAGTTGGATACATATTCAACTATATAGGGTTACTTCCTTCCATTTACATTCGATTAGCTTTTATCAGACCATCAGTACGAGATATTGAAGGGAAGCGTCCATAATTTGTTTCAATAATAGTACTAAACTCCTTAGAAAGGCGATAAAATTTTGTTGAAAGGGTAATACACTTGACAGGCAGTCATCAAGGGACGAACTTCTTTTTAGAAGTGAACTGACTTGAAGATAATGATGTATACTTGTAAAAACAAGCCCAGGAATTCCCCAGGTTACTCTAAAATCTTTAACATTTGTTTAAATAGTTATGTTTACCCAATATAGCAACAGAATATAAACACCGAATATCTTCAGCGATTATTTCTAGTGGTTCAGGCCGAATACGCTCTACCAGTGAAATATTTTAGTGTTTACATCGATTGGTCACCGAGTAATGATTGTCTAATTGTTCAGTGTTGGTGAAGTTTCATTTATCAAGTTATGATGTGACAATTAGTCTGATTAACTCAAAATCACGTGGAAGATATTTTCATGTTAGGTGGTTGGAGGTTGTCGGTAAGAGATGAAGGACTTCATGCTAAATAGGACCTTTGGAAGACTTATGCTTTCTAGGGGTTTCAACCTGTTTCATCAAGCTTCACAGACAAAGACATTATCACTGAGTAATTCAGGTTGCTATTAGCTTCAATTCTTAGGAAAATCAGTGCTAAATAGCATGAAAGTTGAATCCCTAATTTCTTCCTAACTACCTCTAAGCACATAATATATCTTAATATTGCTTCGCTCAAGAGTCACATAAATTATATTTACACAGAGGTGTATTACTCTCAGTATAATTCATGACAGCAATGAATTTATGACAAACAGATGTAGTATGGGGGGTTGTGAAGATTATTAAGTTTTTGATTGAAATCATGAACTGATTGATATTAGACCACCGTTGGAAACCTGGACGGCGATTTCGTCCTGTTGTGGGACTCTTCAGCAGTGCGCATCCACGATCTCAATCAAAAACAGATATAGAACAAGTCAATTTCATAGACATCGGATCAGAAGAAGATCGAATACCATATCAAAATATATATAAGTTTCTTTTCCAAACAGAATTTCTTTATGACAGAAACAAAAAGGAAACAAGAAACAAAAGATAAATAGAGCATAGAATTATGATGAAATATCAATAGCAAAGTATCGAATAGTTGTATCATCTGATGCTGTACACAAGAATGGTTCAATTTTATCATTATTATTATTATCGTCTATAGATTTACAAAATGGTGGTAGAGTTAAATAAAGAATCATTGCTTTATGACCCCACCATATTTTTAAAGGGGTTTTTTCTGTTAATAAACCAGATGAAGATTTTCCTGTTAATCCAGTAATACCACACCATGCAACTATGGAACCTTTAGTGGTAGCTGTGAAAAATATAGGTTTATATCGACTCCAACATAATGATGTAATACCGATAGGTTGCTGTTAAATTAGAAATAAATATAAACGAGAATTCATTGAATAGTATCAATCAAATAAGGAGAATGTTTACGTTATACAAATTAGTGTATGAAAGGGACAAAATAATTATAATAGGAGAAGCAGTTCAGTTTTTAAAAATTCTACACATGTTCCCATAACTCCTCGTTACCAACATGGTGTTGCCACTGAATGTCAGCAACTTTCCAGAGCCAGCGACGATCAAACATATGTAGTTGCCTAACATCCTCAACTCAGAAATACCAGGCTTCGTGAGCTTAGAGTAAAACTGTTCTCATCAACGCGTTGTACATCTGATCTTTTATAGCTAGACCAGAATCACGAAGGTGCCAAAGATGATCCAGATTGACATAAGCCTCTCTGGCTTCCACTATATATATGAATTGATTTCATCACTCACGTAACCATCAGCAGTTACACAGCTACACCCAAATACACGAACTTCTCGTAAAAGTATTTTGCACTTAGAAGGTGCGAGACATATGTCATACCTACAGATACTAGTTGCCAACTGATTAGGTGCGGATTGCAAAGCTTGGATATCATAGCTCAGTAAGACAACATCCGCATACAAAATAGACAAGGTTAAGTGGGATCACATAGGTTAACAAGGTGATTCATGAAGTACCAAGAGAACTCATTCACCATATAGACAATGATGCAACTAAATGTGAACCTCACTAAAAAGCTAAAGAATTTCATAATATGTATCAGGTGATGTGGTTATTTTAAACTGATGACCATAAGTCGAAAATCACTAGGATTATCTTTTTTTCTCTTAGTAGGTTGAACTTTTCTTAATTTTCCAGTAATCAAAATTTCAACGCACAAATAATGGTTGGTTATTGAAAGAGTTAAGCAATTAACATACTTCTAGTTAAATTTTAGAAAATCCTGATTTGAAATCAACACTTCAACAAGAAATAACCTACCGCGTCATCTTCATCTATATACGTCCATTTTTGACGAACACGAATAGTATGAGCATCACAAATTCCAAGTACACCAGTGATAGAGCCAAAAGCAAATAATGGATGTCTATAATCAAGATAAATAAATAAAATATTAGTAAATAAAAGGGAAATTAGAATGTACTAAGAATAATTCAGGATAGAATGCATTCTGCCACATATCAGTTATCGATATCATTCATAACAATGGATGAATAAACAAACTCATTTCAAATATATTCAGAATATCAGATGGGTTTTGTGGATATTATAGTAATTTCAATGGTTAAGATCATGAGTCAGTTGAAGCTAGACCACTATGGAAAACCTGGAAGCACTGGACGGCCGTTTCGTCCTATGACCCATTGAAATTACTGTAATATCCACAAAACCCATCTTATATTAATCAACATATGCTCACTAGTGACTGGCTTCAAGAGGTATATCCTGGAGTTCCAGTGAGAAGTAGTGACCAGTGAAGTTCAACCAGGTCTGTTGTGAGATAGTAACTCACCGATGTCAACGGTGGATGTGTCGTTCAATTTCGTGGATTAGTTGAAGTTAGACATTAACACCTTTGGATGCCGGCTCAGTGATCTAGTGGTTAAGTGCTCTCGAGCGCGAAATCAGTAGGCCCTGGGTTCGGATCTCGCAGGGGTCGAGGCCGTGGGTGCGCACTACTGAAGAGCCCCATACTGGGACGAAACGGCCATCCAGTTCTTCCAGGTTTTCCATGGTGGTCTTGATATTCAGAATATATGATAATAAAATAAAGCCGATAGGTTTAGGTTGCCGGATATTAGCATTATCCTTCATAAAAATAATGTAGTTTAAAGGTGATTACATCCATTTACACTCAATAGGTAAGTCAAATCTCTAATTAATGTTTGGATGTATTAGTCAATGAATAATCATGAATGTAATTTTAATTCATACAAGGTTCAACAACAACAAAATATTCCACCATGATAATTGACATATATCCAACCAATTTCAACTTAGTAACAGGTAAATACTCCTTAGATGAACTCAAACAATCATTCATGTAACTCCGAATTTCAAAGTTTAATATGTACTTTATAATAACAATGATGTATTGGTTATTTTAGGACTGAAACTGGTAAGTCAATTTTGGCAGTTGGACATCCTGTACGAACTGACTCGATATTACCATTAAGTCATAAGCATTTAAAGCATAGATGGATAGTGGCTAGTAATGAAATCCAGGACGCGTGTTTTGTCGTATTTGGGACTAGTCAGCTGGATGTACCTGCATTCCACAGTTGATGTAAATTTTGAGACACGAATCGAGTACCGTTCGCTTGATGACGAGTCCCAGATGGGACGAAACGTGCGTTCCGGATTTCACTCCTAACCTTCATTTCATCTCTGCTTAAAAATGATGATACTCGTTTACTGAATCCATAAACTTAAAATTTGTAATCGAGTTCAAGAAGCTCATGACCATATAATCTCTCCAAACTACCAGGAATTATTAAATCATACGAAGCCCATTTTGTACCACATTATTTATATAAAGTCATATGATACCATCTGATCTTCACAAAACGAAGATGATACAGAACACGAATCAGAGACTTATTTGCTGAAAGTCAAGTAGTTTCATTCCATAAATGTTTTTAAAGCAAGATTATATACTTATATCTTGCATTGAGTATGTAGCGAGATATCAGGTGACTACTATCTCATTGACTTTGAATAAAGCTATAGATGGATTGATATACTCAGATGCTTACACATGATATACAGATAAATAACTGTGATTTGTATAATCATAACCTCTTATTCTTTGTAAATTGTGTTTATACAGTTTTTGTATATGGATGTCTTGTTTATAATTAATTACTCAATCGGATAAATATGTTTACGATTAATATGAATAGTATAAGAGTATTAGATGAAAGACTTACGTCCAAGAACAGTTTAATGCTTCAACGGATCCATCATCACCTGTTTTAATGATATCTAAAACCTGTACAATAAAACAGATTAATTAATAATAAACAAAATTCTAATTTCTATTAAAATCATAATATTACAAAGGTTACAGTGAAAGCAAAACCCTTACATATGCATAAACATAGTTCAACTTGTTCTCATTCAATATAGCAATGAGATCTAACCAATAATAGAACATTGAGATTCATAGTTTAATAATAATTTTATCAGTATAGAGTTGTGGAGATTGTTGAGTTGAAACTGATATCATGAATGAATCAATGTTAAACCATCATTGAAAACCTGGAAGCACTGAACGGCCATTTCGTCTCAGTATGGGACTCCTCAACAGTAAGCATTCATGATCCTGCATGAGATCCTGGGTTTGAATCCTACGTGCGAGATCGTGGATGCTTACTGATGAAGAGTTTCATACTAGGGCGAAATGGACGTCCAGTGCTTCCAGGTTTTCAATAATAGTCTAGCTCATGAATTCAATCATTAAAATTACTACAATCCCTACAAACTTCATTCTGATTATAGTTTTCTTTATTTCACAATTTATCTAGTTTGCCTGACCTTTACTTTCTCAGCTACAAAAAGTCATCACAAGTAAATGTGTGACCAGATTGTTGGTCGAAGTGTATTGCATCACCACATTACGTAATTCTGATAAAGCTTGTCTTTTCTTCATTGTATGATCTAAATTTATCAAAGAGATAAGAGATGATGCTTTGAAACAGATATATCAGTCAGTCATACCTCTAACACCACTCAAGAAACAGATATATAATGATTGATCAATAAACCTGGAGTCTTTACTTGCTGATTATGTCACATGCTATCAACGTAGTCTTTTCTCCCTTTTAATTGTGACAAGTGGATAGAATTCTTGATAAGAGAATATATATATAATTACTGCCTCCTAATTCCCTGGTACAGACAAAGGTAGGGAGATTCGTCTCTCTTTCTCGAAATGTTTCCATATGACCATGCATATATAGTCACCGTTAGGGAGGTCCTACTCACTGCCTTCTCGTTTCAGGGGTGTTGTTTACTAAGTTGAGAGGACGAAAATTGAATCTTCAGTGCTAAAGCCGGGTAAGTACAGTGGGACCACCTAGTGAAGTTGTAGAAACCTGATTTCAAACTAATGGTGCACACTGGCTTAAGAACCCTAAAGAAACAAATGGCGCATGAACCTATCCTTGGTCACCGTCTACCATAGGAGTGCATCTCCTAATGTCGCTTTACTGCCTCGTGGATTGGATCTTTACGTCAAGTGTTCAGGGAGTGGCTCCCTAACAAAACCATTTGTTTCTGGTTAGTGTACTCGGAGAATATCCCAACCAACGCACAAATTTAATGATTTGCTATGTGGTCCACATATATTTTAGTGCCCCATTTTACCAAACTTCATCAGTCAGTCAGCTATAACGTAGAACCAGGTACATATGTGCACCCGTCCAAGTTGACATACCTCATTAGCACAAAAAGATGAACACCAAATCCATAGGAGCAGTTACTTCAATGGTATATAAAAAGATCGCATACAAGAATATAATACAGGGAGAAAGAATTAGTTCGTAGAAAGAAAGATATGAAGCGATTTTAATCTCTTAGTTTAAGGGAAGACAGAGAGTGTTCACACCTACACCACTGTGTTCGATTCTGAGCCATGTCACACAGAGTCCCCAACCGTTGCTTACGATAGTCACGCGGACCCCAAACAAGTAGTCTCCATCTACCAACATGGTTAAGACCAGAAGTTAGTGACTTCAAGTACTGATGTAACGTTTTCGTTTGGCCACCCCTAACTTTCTTCCTACCATTCACAACACTAGTCAGCATTGCGCGTAGTGGTAATCGGTGTTCAGGCATACGCAACACGTGACCCAACCATTTCAGTCGATGAAGATTCACAACCTCATCAACTGATTTACCATCATTACCTAATACTCTACGTCTAACCTCACTATTACTTACCCGGTGATCCCAGCAGATGCAAGCAACATTTCTAAGACATCTGTGGTCAAACACTAGTAGCTAACGAGTACCTTCTCCTCTTAATGGCCACGTTTTGCAGCCGTAATGTTGAATAGAACAAAGTGTTGCACAGTTTACTCGTCCCTTAATCTCTTCCAGTGTTTAAATAAACAGACATATAATATACATTTAAGAATTTATTCAAATGATTATGGATTACCTACCTTAAAATGTAATTCCCCATCAAATTTAATAGAGATAGGACATATAAATCCATTTCCAGTAATTAATAATAAATCATGATTCAAGTTATCATTTGTATTAGATTGAGTTTTCAATGATTGTAATGAAATCATTTGATATACTTCTAAATGTTGACCGCATTGATTAGATAAAGAAGAATATTTATCGAATAATTTAATAGAACCAATTAATGTCAGTGATTTTATATCCCATACACGTAGATCACCATTTCGATGAAGTACTGCTAATTTTGGATTTTTAGTATTAGAAAAACTTGGTAGAATAATTCCATCTAATGCAGCTTGATCAAGATCTAGAAGAAAAAAAATGTAATTTATTGTTTGTTTATTTTTTTTATTTAAAGAGAAAATTGTAGTATAACAAATTATTTATTTATTTATTTAAACACATAAACATTGGGACAAGGAGGCACCAAGTAGATAAGCGTCACATAAATCATTCGATTTGTGTGAGGGCCGTGATATTGCCCGGGTGCCCAGACCGAAGCAGGTGGTTTTCTTATGGGACCATACTCTGAGCCTTTGACCTAAAGGTCTGACCCACAAGGCAGTGGAGCATCGTCAGGAGATGCAGTCCCATGATAGCCGGTGACCAACGATTGGTTCATACGCCATTTGTTCCCGCAAGATACTGGAGCCCATGTGCACCATTGGTTTGGAATCCGGTTAAAGCGCCGGACATTCACTTTTCGTCTTCTCATTTTCGTATGCAACACCCTCGCCACGAGAAGGTAGTGAGTAGGACTTCCCTTGTGGAGGTTTTATACGCGTGGCCGTGTGAGAGCATTTCGAGAGGGAGGGCGGGCCCACCCCACTCTCAGCCATACCAGGGCATTTGGGGTTTGAATATTGTTATAATTTATAACTTTTGTGCCCGGGATCAATGACGCATAAACTTGTACGAGTAGTCTAGAGTCTTTATCGGTTCTTCTTCCTGCTTGTTAAGTCCAGAATACCAATCTCAGCCTTCGTGATATGAATCATGTATTTTAAATATACTGGGTTTATATTACAAACCAAACAGATCACATCGCATCAAAAGATAGAAAATAACATTTATACAAGATTTAGCCAAAAGTGTTTTTGAATATGAGAGGTATTGATTAATAGACTGGGCATAATTCAAGAATGGTAAATCGTATAATAATAGTCTATGGGTCAAAATAAAGCTTATAATAATAAGAGGAACATGAATATGCATAGTTTAGCTACCCAACAATATATGTATCGTATTGGTCCATAAATAGTTCTCAAAAGTTACCACTTATAATTCTCGTCGAAATATAAGATATAAATTTATGGAAGAAAAAACACATTACGTCATAATGGTAAAGAAAATCATGACATCAGGCCTACTGCTACCATTAATGATCAACAGTCGGATTTCGATAAGTATACCTATGTTTTAGGATCTGATAAAGAGTGAATATCTAATTCATATATACATCTTCAAATCTGAAACTAGACTTATTTAATCGAGTTTACTATTCACTAGTCTTAGTTAAGCTCTGAATGATTATTGAGGGTGATATTTTACACACTAAATTTCTTAAACTGACTACTCATAGGGAGATTGCTGTTTTTTTCTTATTAGCTGGAAAGATCAGAGATCGTAAACAGTTATATGGGATTATTTTCATTTCCAGACTGTGGGTGATATTTAAATCAATCTAACTGCTTAACATGGATCATCATCCTTAAAATCAGTGATTAATAGGACTGGTGTTTTTGTTAAGCTGAAATCTAAACGGTTTTCCTGTTGTAGCTTTTCTGAATCCAGAAAGACGCCAACAAACGCATACACGTACTAGAGTATGATCAGAGATAAACATGTGCATTGGGATGAGCGGTAGTCTTCTACTGAGCCTATGCAATGATGGTTTGTGGTAATATGGTGTAGTTGTGTATACTGATGAGTCAATTTTGGTGCGTCACCGTGTCAAACAATGTCTCCTGATGATTAAAATCGGTGTTTGCTAGAAACAAACGGTTGTCCGAGAAAAGCTGCCGAAGACAGTTGGTGTTATTCATTCACTGGGCAGAGACACTAAAAGACACCTAAAAAGTTGTAGACATGTCTTTAGATAAACAATGGGGAAATTGAGCTGGTGGGATCAAGTGAATGATTATATTTAGATTCCATATGTGGGTTTCGGAGCTGCAACATGTGGTAATAATAAGAGATCTGACAGTCTAAAGCTTGTTATTAGACCTAGCATGAGGTTGGAACATTGAGAGCTTGGAAAGCAGTTTTAAAAGACCAGGATAACACTTAGTGAACTCGAACCATGGCAGTGATGGTGCGTGAAAAGACGAAAATCATTGAAGAGTTGATATCTAGGATAGAAGAAAATACCTATTGCCAATGACGAAAATACATGGAAAAAGATACAATTTCCCATTTCAAAATCGATCTTTACTAAGCTCCGACATGGAGAGGCAGAATCGCTGCAGATGCTAACAGAAACTTGCTATCACCAGTACACCTCACCATAGTCGTAAGCACGACTTTGCCTTCGGGCCTTAATTTGCAGCTTTTGATCTTACCGCACTGAAACTGATCCGCCTGGGATGGGAATATTAAAAGGAATGAATGTTCCAGCCAATACAAGTTATTTGGTTCATCATGATATCTAATCCCGACCACTACGTCAAGGTAGCAGTCATAATCAGGCAGCCAATCAGTTGATAGTATGAAAAAGTACTATCAATTGTTTTAAACTTAATACAGAAAACCGAATTTTAAAAAATTACTATTAAATCTAATGTAGATGTCATTTTGGGAGAAAAAAACATACCATACGTATACGCCATTGATATACACTTCCCCTGATTGTTTGATATGCTAGAACTTACAGCCCAGTAATTAACATAACTATGTTCATCACCAGCTAAAAGTAGAGCAGGTTTTGGAAGTTCATTATTCATATTTCGTACAGCATTTGAAGGTGATATCCACCATTTAATCCACAATAAATCATTAACAGTTTCTGTTCTTAATAATTTCCATTCTTTCGAGTTTTCTTCTATCAACGGTCTTAACCAAATACGAATATTTCCAGCCATATCACCAGTACATAAATAATCACCATTTGGACTGAAACTAACACAATTCACAGAATCATCATGACCTACATTATTCATGAATATTTTGTTTTAGTGAATAAAGACATACACAAAAAGAATAACGATAAGAATGAGAATAAAAACCAAGGTGACAAAATTACTAGTTAAAAAAAATCCATTGATATGAAGCTGTGAACCTTCATTAATTGAGGTACTTGTATTATGAAGGAGACTTGTAATGATTTGAGATGAATTTTCGATTTTGCTGAGGAGTCCCACAATAAGACGGAACGGCCGTCCTGTGCTTCCAGGTTTCCAATGGTAGTCTAACATCAATCGGTTCAAGATCTCAATCAAGAGTTTTCGATTGTAAAAACCAAAGGATGGAATGGTTATCATTAGGTAAATACAATTATATGAATTGTGTTCGAGTGATGGTCTCTCACAACACTGTATTATTGAATTAGGCCCCCAAATTTCTTATCTAATCAAATAATATGCTTATAATGCCCAATATGAACAGAATAAATAAGACAAAGTGTCATAGACAATTGGCGGAAATTAGTTTGTAGGTCACTCACTATCCAATATATTAAGTCTTGATTGTTAAGCCTAATTCTTGGTTATTGTATCAACTTGGGACATGCGTCATGAATGTTAAGCCACTACTTATCTCGACGTATTATTATTATTATTTCAACAGATAAATATTGGTACAAGAGGGCACCAAATACATATGCGCAACACCATATTTGTGTGTGTGGGCTGTGATACTGTCCGGGTGCCCAGATCGAAGCAGGTGGTTTTCTTAGGGGACCACACTCTGAGCCTTTGACCTAAAGATCTGACCCACAAGGCAGTGGAGCATCGTCAGGAGATGCAGTCCCATGATAGCCGGTGATCAACGATTGGTTCATACGCCATTTGTTCCCGCAAGATACTGGAGCCCTGTGCACCATTGGTTTGGAATCAGGGTTTCCCAACTTCCCTAGGTAGACCCTCCATATCCACCAACCCTGACGTTCGCTTTTCATCCCCTCAATTTGGTAAACAACACCCCCACCACGAGAAGGCAGTGAGTGTGATTCCCCTGGCAGTGGTTGTATGCACGCGACCATGTGAGAGCATTTCGAGAGGGAGGGCTGACTCTCCACACTCTCGGCCGTATTATTAATCCACCCTAATACACAACATGCTTTGTACTTAACCATATTTAATAGATTTAGATCTAATTAATAATATTTGTAAACATCTACTGATTGTTGATTTAGGACCAAATGTTGACTGCTAGCAGACTTTACAGAACAAAAATAACCATTCATAAATAGTAGTACTACTGATGATAATAACATTAATAATAATAATAATAATAATAATAATAATAATAATAATAATAATAATAATAATAATAATAATGACAAAACTCGACCTTGACAAATGAATTCAATTTCACCAGTTGTTGCATTCCATATTATAGCAATATGATCTTGTCCACCGGATGCAAGAAATTTACCAGTACTATCAAAATCTAAACAGAAGACGCTTTCTGAAATAATGAAAGTAATAGTTAAGTAGAAAATAGTTGTAAGGACAAATATATATATATATATATATATATATATATATATATATATATATATATATATATAAAGTTGAGAAATATCAGCTGATGGTATAACTTTCTAGTGATTTAAAAGATGATGCATTGTACACTAAATGCGTTTTGAAAATTTCAAATCTACTTTTGAAACTAATCGACAGGGCTATCGATACTACTTATACTAACGAAGTGGAGTTCGAACATAGAGTTCAGTGAATAAAAGCTGGGTAGATTAATCAGTAAAATATCTACCTCTTGTGCATTGTCTGGCGAGGGAACGTGTCGTATCCCCATAAAGGTGAAATTGGACTGAAACTTTTCGTTGAATATTTGCCCTAAGTTTTAGTGATAATAACTAGTGAAAAATAACCTACAAAAGTTGAGTAAAACTAGATATTAAATGGTCGAATATAGTCGGACCTTGGACTAGATAGACATGACACTGTTCACTACATAATGATCAACTAGACGTACACATCACAGTTTTATTGAAGGTCAGTTGCAGTCCGAATAGCTTAGACTTAAGGTTTCAGACAGTGAAGATGGGCGCTGTGGGTTTTAATCCTTCGGAGGGGTACCAATTACCTCAAGATGATAGTTACGCCCTGCTAACAAGTGCTGAATAGCATTAGACCTATGCCCAGGATTTCCTGCCAACTACCTTCAACTGTCTAACAGCCAGACATGTTTTGCACGATGTCAGGTCACTCAGATTAGTGGCTACATTGCAACCCTATCGACAGAATTCAGACAAAGATTACATTCATCACTCAGCAATCAACCAATGTGGAATAAAACCACATAGATAAACCAAATGGAAAATTGTTGTATCGAAGTAAAAATCATAACGTGACAGTACATCAGAGACTTTATATACATAATTTGTTAAAAGAAATCGATGCGTAACAAATTCATCAAAGTGAAAAAACAGTGGATAGCTGTGTTTTTCAGTTCATCACTCTACATAAGTGCTTCTACAGATCGCATCAGTACATGGTGATGATTATCTTCAAAGAACCACACGTAAATTCATACAAATAAACTTCTTGTCCATCTATTGGAATTGTAAATAACCGTATTGGATTTCCCCATACGAAATCGACAGTTCAATGTTAAACTATGTAGATTGTAAATTCATTCAATCGACGACATCTACTATAAGATCTTATTCCATTCATTCTGATTAAGTGTTTGATTGTGCTTATAAAATGCAGAATTTTGATCAACAAAATTCAACCTTGAAGTAGTTGTATCTAGTCATGTTTGGTTTACTAGGTTACAGTAAATACCCAACTACACTACGAGATGAATAACCTGATAACAGTGAAATAGATGAACTCCCAATGGAGAGAGACATTTGTTATCATAAGCTATTACAAACGATGAAAACATTAAGAAATCGAAATACATAAGGATTAACCTGTTTAATAAGCCATCAGTTTAATTAAGCCTACAGCCGTAGGATGATGGTTATTGAAAACCAGGTGGCGTACCAATACTCTACACTTAATCTGTGAGCATAACATTAAATAGAATAGTATAACATAATAGGATAAAACACAACCTTGAAGTAATAGTCAGTTGGATACTAATAGCGCAGCTGAAGTTTCTGGTAGATTCTGAAAGATTAACGGTGCTTTTTCTGTCACTGAGGAATAGACTTGTTGCTTAAGTAATCGGACTAGCCATCATCTCATTTCTGTCTATTAGAAACTGGAAGTGTCGAATTTCTAGTCGAATCCAGGACATGATAGATTATTGTGCTAATGAGGTATGGCAACATGGACCGATGCATATATGCCTGGTCTTATGTTGTAGACCGACTAACAACATAATGCTAGATTTCAAGACATAATCCTGTCCTCTGAGAAACTTGCATTACTCGAAGGTATTATTTGACACTAATAACCATTTAATTAAAACGATGTCGTCTATTTATTGAATCAAAACCTAGTATCTTCAAGTTCATAGAGAATTGTGCGCCTCCTGACATGATAATCATCGGCTGAGGAAAATCTCTTTGTAGCGTATTTTAATTTATCACACAAATCCATTGACTACTTGTGAGTCTTTTCTATCCATTGTATTGTGATTATTTTACCATTATGATCTTCAAAAAACTAAATACTAGGAACGGATAAATCATTGTGTGAGATCACAACACACCGACCCATTTTCTGTCATAAACAGTTAAATCAGTAGTTAGTAAACAGTTCATCGGCACACAAACGTATATCGGACAGAATAACACAATTTACCATTAATTGTCCGAACAAACCTTTATGGCCTGAGAGCAATTTGAATGTATCGTCTTGAGTAGGTGAAAAATACTGTACAACATCCATACTACTGTCCACCGCTTCAGCCTCTATAAATTGAGATATAAAAAAAATACTATTATAATGGAATTAAATTCATACTACCTTTATTTATCTCTGACTTGTAAACGACTCCGTAATAAGGTTTTTTAATACTGAACAAGTTCCACTGGTCAAATCTCGATGTGCTTCGATATGGAGGAACACTTTACCCGAAATTATATCCAAAAAGATATGAATTTTAGGTGCTGCTTAACAATACCCAACTCCTATTAGGGGAATTGATGCTCTACATTATTTTTATCAATGACGTCATAAATGCAATCTGTTTGAGTATAACATACATCTGTTACGGTCTTCTGACGCACGGCCACCAGGTAAACCAGCGCAATGTTAATAAACTAACACCAGTCGAAATCATTTTTATTTTTGGGATCCGGCTTCAGGTATACATAAGTAGAACTAGTAAGAATTCATTGTAGGAAAACCGTATAGGATCGAAAGCTCACTAGCAGTAACCAGTGTTATAAACAATTCAGTTTACAGACCTACCTCACACCAACCTAGCTATTCGTGCCCCACTAACAAAAAATGGTTTGCTTGGAGGATATCGTGCTTACATTCGAAAACCTGGTCTGCGCAGGTCACCTATGGGTCGACAGTGACCCTTCAACTCGCAAATACCCGTCAGTATATGTAAACCAATAGTGTGCACTGAATATTTTAAGCATTGCTCTTTCGACTGATGTAAAGTATTAGAGCTTACGACAAAAGCGTGACACGAAACCGTAGCGACAAGTGTCTACTGACGGATTATCTTCAGTAGAGCCATATCTAGTTAACGTCATAGACTTGGCAAATACACCGTCCAGTAATATCCACCTAGGACTTATCGGATGTGCGCTACATGAGGTCGAACTCGCTTGAGCTACCTAATATACCAAAGTTAGCCTGTCATGTGGCAATCTAATAAGCCCGGATGGAGTTAGAAGTTTGACGTCCGGCAAGTTGATCAGGTACCATGCACCAAATAATAACGGCCAAGATCAACCACATAGTTAGATTTCTGTTGAAGGAACTAGTCACGTGTGCTAATGCATTGTTCTCAACACCACTTCAGAAAGGCCTCATTTGAAGCATTGCTCATCCGGAGAATACCGAGAGCCGGCCACGAACCAACACTCTAGTTTCGGAAACAAACATCACGTTGAGAGCCACCATCTACAACCTATTGAGTCGACTAGTGGCATGTCACCACAGTAATTGTTACCACACGGGATACGAGTAAACAAACCGAGTACCGGGACCTAATCGATGACCATAAGGATAAATCACCTGCAGGGTGGCTAAAAACCCGTTACTCCCGGTTAATAGGTCCCTAAACTAAAATGGAGCTTTCATGCCTGAAATCGAAGCAAGGGGACACAACATATGACTTCTCGTAGCACTGGGCCGATAGCACGGCTGAAAAAGCCACTCACCGTTAATCGATTCATCATCCGAGTTGTTCACAGACTGATTCTCATCTTCAATCCAATCCACATCTCCATCAACAAATTCAACGTCATCCGGTTCACTAGCCTACAGAACAAATGACGGGATATGACTTTCTTGCAGATGTCATAATCAAAACTTAGTTTCCTAACTAATAAACACTCATTCAATAACATGTCTAATGCCCACATTAAAATAACAGAAGACATCAATGTGGAAAGAATTTATTTAATCTCCCACAAAGGTACAAGGGCCTCACAACGGTTACATCACTTGCTCCTTTCCCTCATTTTCCTTCGTTTCCGCTTCAGTCTCCTCATCCTCTTTTTTCGCCATTTATCACGCATCTAGGAACTGAATAAATAAAGAAATGACAACTTACCACGCCACGATCAATAAGTTAAGCCAAGACCGCCTTCAATTCGATCACGTTCAAACACACTCTCAAGGTACAATAGTTTAAGATTATGGTTCAAATAACAAGGCTAACCGAATCTGATTAATGCTAACAGAAAAATGTTTTGGATAAGAGCAGTGTGTTTCACGCATTAAATTTTTGCGGAGCATAAACGTAAACATCACTTATCCATGTAAGTGGTAAGGGAATAACATCTTGAGTAATTTTCAGTACCTGCCGACTAATACAAATGTAAAAACTTCTGTTTGAATAATTTACGGGAAGTGAAATCCTTGCCTTTCTGTGTAATGCTTAATAAATAATCGAAATAAATAGTTCCGTGAGTCTTCAACGTTGTCTCTGGTCTCATTAGTTTAAGTAGACACACCTTGGATCAGGGCACTTCGTCACATATACTCACCAGGTCACGAGTAGTACCCATGCTGTGCATCGATTGCAACTACTAAACAGTTTAGAAAAACGCTTCTCCACTTATCAGTAGCTTTCCTAATATATCTTTGAACTTTCCCATTGCTGGCTTCCAGGTAAACTGCGTTGGTATCCTTATGTAGCGGTAAATAAATCCTCAGAATAAATAGCTCTGTAGGTTTTCGACATTGGATGCTGACCATATGTTTTAGTGGACTCATCTAGCTGAAGGTGCTCGGTCAGGCACCCGCACCAGATCACGTGTGGTAACGCCGTGCTCAACATCTACCGCAATCGCTAGCCAGATTAGATCAGAGAATTCCGATATATTGGTAATCGCCAAATACACTCTTCCGATCTCCTCGACTCTGTCTTTTGATTTCTCTGGGTAGGAACGAAATATATTAGAAGGTGTTACTGGTAGAAGCGTTGTCAAACACTGAATACCTGTGACATCATCACTTTGATCTTAAGGGTGATACAACGGTCAGAGGCTTATAATCCCTTGAGCCGAACAAGGGAGCTGGTTTTTATTTATATCCCAGTCCCACTACCTGTTTTGTCACTTTCCTTTGAATTCGTTTAAGGAAGATTATATCTTTTTCAAGTTATATGTGACAACTGCAACGAGCGGTATCACAGCGTGTAGACTGGACTCACACCAGCTGCATACCAAAGGTGTCGCAAGCCACTCTCATGTCAGTCGTTCAAAGTATGCTGATTCTTGAGGCGACTGAGCTGCTGAACATAGCTGTAAAGATGCTCTCAGATAAACGGATACCAGTAGATGAGCAGCCTTCAATTTTCGAGGAAATAGCGAGCCTTATTATAAGTCCAGTCTTGAATTCGAAGAAACTATCAAGGTGGGCCCCAATGAGGTAGCAGATAGCAAGCATACAAATGTAGGCGTGGTTACAAGAAAAAGGAAAACACAGTTGGAATGAAGAAATCATCGTCAGCAGTAAGGCATGGTTTCAGCTCTGGATGATGTGATTAAGAGACATAATAAAGTTAGCGACTGACTTACAGTTGTACCCAGAAAAAGAAAACAGGGTGAAGTCTTCACGTCTGACGCCAAACTGGACTGCTGGGATGAGATTTCAGAGAAAAAACCTCCACACCTTGTTAACACGGACCTCACTGACATGTCAGCCATTTTTCATAAGTTAGGCGAATCTTCCAAAGCTGATCAAACGACTAGGTTTGAACACGACCTAAGCCATATTTGTTATTTGTTAAGTAAGCTACATCCGGAAATAGTAGCAGGAGTAAGCATCCATAATCTTTATAGAATAGAACAAATAGTGGGTTCTGAAATTACGCAGAAGGCTGCCTGTTAAAAATTACCTTAGCTTCTGTAGGAGAAAGAGACCGACTACCAGAAAACTCACGCAAACTGACCGCAACCGGAATACACGTCCGTTAGGATCTTAGCCTAGTTGGCCGTATTAAGAGACGACCAGCCCGAGTAGAGATAAATGAGCGCGGCCGGTAAGGTGAAAAACCTCATAAATAAAGGTTTTCTGATTGTAAATGTTTGGAGCAAAGCGATCTTCAAAGCACTCTGGCAGGTGAGGGAAAGCTCCTCACAGAACTAAGGGCGTGCTACAAAAATGCTTCTAGCACACAAAATGAAATCTCAAGCTCAAAACAGTAAACACATAAAACTCTAAGGTCACTGACATCTCAGACACATGGATGACGTCAGAAGTGTCTGATAGTGAAATTCATTTGTTTGGTATTTTACTTAGTAAGGCTGATAGATGAAACCGCAAGGGTGGTGGGATTATCCTGAACGCGAAAAGTATCTTAACCATACGACCTGTCGGTTCAGTAACACACGAGTCAGTGACATGTGAGACGGTGCAAGATACTGGATTGGTTGTAGTATATGTGAATGACTTCATCCTGAGCAAATTTAAACCATCGGGTACTGAGGTACCAAGAAAACTGTATATTTGATTCAAGGGCATCAATGGAAGAAGCATGGATACACTTTTGATAATTACAAAGTCAAACAACTCAACAATTTATACCCTGAACAGTCTGAAACAAGTAGAAGCACAGGCATCCCTGGGTAGACTGGGATATTCGAAGTTTACCAATACAAAAGTGCTGGAATATAGCTATCAGATTTGGCACAGGAAGTAAGACTCAACGCTTCAGGTTGGTACAAAATAACTGTATAACTACAATCAGGGAAGGTGGCTCATTATGAAATAAGTCAGCCTATAAATTATCCTCGTATATAAATTACAGAACTAGGACGCAGCATCGAATTTTCAACCTAATTACACAAGGGATTGTATCTCAAATGACAAAAGAAGATCAGAACAAAAAAGAGGCTGTGGCAGTTTATTTTGTGGCATTTTTCACTCAGGAACCTATTCTAGACGAAGAACATGACCCAAAAAGTCAATAAACCATCCGTTCATTGTAGACTTCGATCGAGACGATGTACTTAGGGCTCTTAGCACTTCAGATACGGAAACATCTACAGTACTAGGTGTGCTAAACCCTAAAGTCTTGAGACAAATTGCGCAATATATTCCTTCTCCATTGACTATGATATTCAATACGTCACTTGGTCAAGGGCAGCTACTTATGGACCAGAAGGATGCAACTGTGACTCCAATACATTGAACAGAATCAATAAAACCATAATCAAACTACAGACTTGTCAATCCCACTAGTGTCATAGTTAAAATACTGAGAAGAATTATCAAAAAGACCATAATGACGGTGGTGGAAACCAACGATTTGTTGAACAGCAAACAGCAAGATTTCAGAAAGTGTTTATCTTGCACAACGAATCTCCTTGCGGCAAAAGAGTAATGGATAGACGCCCTAGATAGTGGAAAATCAGTGGATGTTGTCTATATAAACTTCAGCAAAGCATTTGACAAATTGCCAACAAACAGACTGCTATTGAAACGAGGTCTTGACATTGTTAAACCTTTTCTAAAATGGTGTGTGGGTTTTTTCCAGATTGGATCATACTCAAAAATGTAAAACACTTTGGAGTAGTACGAGGATTAGGGTATCTAAAAATTTAAGGAGGTTATAGGAAACGACTCCTTTATTTCTATTTCCTTATTTTCTCCCTTTCCTTCTTTAAACTCAATTTAATATTCTTCTAAATTACACAGAACCTGATTTCTTATTACTACTACTTTATGACTATTATTCTCTTTTTCAAATGTGGCAAATATAATACTAACATTATTAAAACTTGTGTATTATTGCATCTTTGAAGAAACCCGAAATGGTTCCTTCACAACACTTATGTACCTATAAGATTTTTGTGAATCATAATAATAATGACAATTCTGGTCTCTAGATTTCCTTCATAGGAGATATTTTGGGACTTCATTGAATGATTTGCGGCAATTGGGTGAGAAGATATTTTTCAGTTCTGGGTAAGGGTTCCACTGTGTGCCAGTTGATAACTGATCGGTTACCTGAGTTGATGTTTCACGAAGAGATGAAACAAGATCTTGAGCGGACGGTTACCTGAGTGCCCTAAGTAATTAGTGTATCCTGGGAAAACAGTTTGGTAGCATCATTGTCGAATACCTATAGAACGTTATATTTTATGTAACCATTTTTCTATGTGATTCTCATGAGAAAGCCAAGTACCTATCACTGGTGACCATGAGATAAAGACATCTATTCAACATGTGGAGCAATGGGACTACTCATTGTGCGTTCAAACCCGATTTCAAAAAATCAATTTTACAGATTACAAACCCTGTTACTTGTTAGCTTGATCATAAGACAAAATGTCACCAATGCTTGATATTGCACACTTTAAGAAATTTCAAAGTGATTAATAGATATCTCACTACAATTTATATAACACTGGCACTGGTTCCTTATTCTCCCACACCAACTTAATAAATGATGAAGCAAACTCAAAATGTATTGTCCAGTTAGAGATAAGTTGATGCAGTCATGCAAAAGCAAATAAGGCCAATTTATTGTAGTTCTTGACCGTGTATGCCCTAGGATATCTCATAGTACCCAGGATAATCTTATTCACAAAAATACGCTCCGGTTACTCTCTTTTTCCTATGGCATAACGGTTATGAATTATAAGTGATAACAATAATCATAATTTATCCTCAACTAACAATGCTAATTATTCAAGTCTATGAAATGTCACCACCTTTGTTTCGAAAAAACACGCAGGAAATCCCTCCAAATCATTTCGTTGGACGTCATTTTCATCTATTTGTTTTTTCCCCATCTCTCATTCTAACCTTTATTCAGGTCTCTCTTAACCGCACTTTATGTCCTTCGGTCATCGTCATCTGAACTTTTATTATTCAACCTTGGCTAAGGAATCACCATTGATTACTCGATTTGACAATTGCGTGTTGCCGGATAACTGACAATAAGATAGTGTTTGACTCAACTCAAGATCACGGTGTGGTCCAGTGTATGTTTGTTAATTTTCAACTCCCTGTTTAAAAAGGGAGATAGCGATTTGTGTATCAGAATACTGTATTCAACACTATTTTGAAACCAAATAATCATTTGCTTTCAGCTTTTTTGTACCATCTCCATTTATACAGTTCCGTTCATAACATATTTACGCTTGTTTACTTTAACCTATTAGAATGCTTAAAAAGTACC